ACCCGGAGAATAACCTAAGAATACCCTGAGAATAATACCCCGAGAATAATCTGTTAATACCCTGAGAATAACCTGAGAATACCCGGTGAATAACCTAAGAATACCCCGAGAATAACCTGAGAATACCCAGAGAATAACCTAAGAATACCCCGACAATAACCTGAAAATACCCCGAGAATAATCTGAGAAAACCCCGAGAATAACCTGAGAAATACCCCGAGAATAACCTGAGAATACTCGGAGAATAACCTAAGAATACCCTGAGAATAGCCTGAGAATACCACGAGAATAACCTGTTAATACCCCAAGAATAACCTGAGAATACCCGGTGAATAACCTAAGAATACCCCGACAATAACCTAAGAATACCCGGAGAATAACCTAAGAATAGTAACAATGCCTCGGGAGTAGCCTAAGAATACCCCGAGAATAACCTTAGAATACCCCAAGGATAATCTCACGATATCCTGAGAGTAGCCTAAGAGTACCCTGAGAATAACCCTAGAATACCCCGAGAGTAACCTAAGAATACCCCGAGAATAACCTGAGAATACCCTGAGAATAACCTGAGAATACCCCAAGAATAACCTGTTAATACCCCGAGAATAACTTGAGAATATCCGGTGATTAACCTAAGAATACCCCGAGAATAACTTGAGAATACCCCGAGAATAACCTGGTAATACCCCGAGAATAACCTGAGAATACCCAATGAATACCCCAAGAATAACCTCAAAATACCCCAAAAATAACCTAACAATACCCCAGGAATAACCTGAGAATACATCGATAATAACCTAACAAGATAACAATACATCAACAATAATCTCAAACAGATAATATATTTATTCTCCAAATAATCTGCACAAAATAACAATATATCAAACAGCTTAGTCCTGTAAGACAAACCTGCACAAAATAACAATATATCAAACAAATAATACATTTATTCTCCAAATAATCTGTATCTGCAGATTTCATATACTAGCTCTGCCCTAAATCGAGGCATCTCAGCCTGCTAGTCTTGAAAATCTTTCCAATTAATCTTGTCTTTCTGTACAATTGTCTCCATATATTTACAAAAAAATATATCGTAGTCGACGTTATTAGTTTGTGTGGGAATTCCTCTAGCCGTGCTAACATCCCATTTACTCGGGTCACTGTGGAAAGCATTCTCGGCGTCCTTATGAAGATGTCTTATCTGGTAATACAAATGGTTGTTAAAATAGTGAAATAATAAATATGAATGTAACGGTTGTTAGTTAGATGAGGCTTAGAATTTTACCACGTCATGTGTGACTCCCAAATGTATTTTATTAGGCAATGAGTCATAGAATCTCCACTTACGGTCCTTCTGGTTCCCAACGAGTAGAGTCCAATGCCTATTATTAACAATTGGAATTAAAATTGCATCTGCCTGAGCTACAGCTTCCACTGTGACGTGGGCAACAATATCTCGTAGAGGATAGTCTCTATACCCCTGCATATACATAATAAATAAGTTTAAAAAGAGCATGAACCTATTGCATATACAAACTTAATGAGAATTTTATTACTTACCCAATGCGCCGGAGAGACGTACAAATAGGGTCTAAAAGAATCAGGAGACTGACGCCGACGGTTTTCTAATACAATGGCAAACAAATCTACATGATCCACGTCGATTTCTTTATTATCTCAAAATGCTTCCAGGTCAATTCGACTAATATGAATGTGACCCTGAGCAATTATTAAGTCATCCCTGCAAATTGATTGAACAATATTTATTATATTTAATAAATAATTGACAGAAAAAATATTTTGTTGTGTACATACCTTTCTCTGTACATTCTTAAACAGCTATCGATCACCTGTTGCATGTGTGATGGTAGTAGTTCTCTGTCGGGGAACTCTACGGCTGAAGAAGGGAGGGCACCTTCATATGGAACAATTGTGCCTGACTGTACCTCCTCCCAAGATTCT